TGGACCTGAAAACAAATTCAGCACAATGCCCTTGGCCTTCTTGAAGCGTCGCCGTTGATGGCGATTCCATGGCAATCGAGCCTCATCACCAGCTTTACTCACCATAGGTTGCAACAACTCCACAGGTGTCTCAGGAAACAACTTGTTGAGCTTGTCGACCATGTCCTTGTCTTCCTGTTTCCAACCTGTGACTTCCAAACTTCGCAACATCAACTGCTTGTTCTTCTCAGCAGTTTCCAGCTCTCGAATGAGCTTCATCCCCACATCATTGGTCACGTAGGGACAATTGTCACGAACTGTGACTTTCACTTCACCCAGCTTGCCATGTGTGAGAGCGCACCCATCGCGATGCCACCTCATCTTGCATCCATGCTGAGTCAACATTCCCAAAGGCACAATTGGCTGCAGATCATCCTTTGTCAACAACGATCTGCTCATCTTCGACATTCTCAACTGTGTTTTTCCAGTTGCCGTTTGTACCTCTGTTGGGATCGCCTGCATCCACTCAGTCTCATCATAGGGTCCTCTAAGGATATGCGTGGCCCCTGAGTCCAGTAGCACACCCTGATTGCTGTCAGTCACCACCGCCAACACCCTTGGAGTCGTTGACGTTGTTCGCATTGTTTTCAAAAGACTGGCAACTTCACCCATGACTGAGGGCTGAACTTGTTGTTGTACTTGAGCAACTTGAGGCTGCTGTTGTACCTGAGCAACTTGAGGTTGCTGTTGTATCTGAGCAACTTGAGGTTGCTGTTGTATCTGAGCAACTTGAGGTTGCTGTTGTATCTGAGCAACTTGAGGTTGCTGTTGTATCTGGGCAACTTGAGGCTGTGAATCCTTTGAAGACTGATCCACTCCCCCGACCGGCTTGTCCCGGTCCTTGCCTTTGCCCTTGTCGTTCTTGCCATCCTTTGTCTTTCCCTTGCCTTTAGGGCTTCCTTTGGAGCTTTTGTCGCCCGGACTTGTCGTAAGCTTGTCACCAGCGGTGCAGTCTTTGGCAATGTGTTCCAAACTGGAACACTTCCAACATCTCTTCTCCTTGTCGTTGAGATTGTTCCACTCATGGGCATAGGTGCATTTGTCACCCTTGAGGCATCCGTAAGGTTTACCCCAATGCTTGCATGCTCCAGCTCCTGCACCATAAGCATTGCCTTCTGCATTGTTGCCATAGCCTTTCTTACCAGGAGATCCCTTCTTGCCACCACCCTTGTCACCAGCAGCATTGACCACGTTGATCTTGGGGTTGCCAGAAGTCGGACTTGCCTTTGTCATTGTTCCATGATGCAAGTGATCCGCTTCGGCAATCAACATCTGCAGATAGTTCTCCGCTGTGAGCTGTGTAGGCGCCACATCCACCATATGGGTCATGCGGAAGTTGCTGATGCGAAAGCTCGCTTGATGCTCCTTCACAATCACTGTCCGCATCACTTCAGAAAGTGCACTCACCTGCAGCAAGGGATCTGGAACCTGTAGTCCAAGTTCACGAGCTCGCAGGAGTTGACGTCGCCATTGGCGTAGCATCTCACCAGCTTCAGCTGCAGATTTGGCTGCTGTGGTTTGAGTCAAGTTGTTGAGGATGGTGCTTTTCTCGTTGAGACCACCAGGTTGGTACAGCTTCAAGATGCGAAACACCAGCTGCACGCATGTCATCTCTCGCAAAGAGATTGCTTCTTGTTTGACCGTCTGTGGCACTGCAGCTAACAACATTCAACATTGACAGCACGCGAGACTCCAACCTGACATACTTGTTCTCCACTTGAAGGTCAGGTTGCACAGCCATGCGATCCATTGGACCCGCTGTCAGCCATGTGGCATAGGCATCTTGAGCTCGTTGTACTAGTCCGGTCCACCACACTCTTGCGCCTTCTGAGACATCTGAGATCAGCGGCATCAACTCACTTAACCAATCTCCTGCACGAAGGGCAGCTTGAGGCTCTGACACGTCCTTCAAAATTGGCAGTGTAATCGGCACATTTCTCAGCACCTCAGAAGCTTCGCCATCAGGACCTTTTGCTTGTGGTTGAGGTTGTTGCCATTGCAGTGGCATTGAACCATATTGCATTGGTGCTGCATACATTGGTACACCAGAAGGTCCAACTCCATGTCCTTGAGGCGGTTGTGGTGGTGGTTGCGGAACATAACCAAAATCCGCTGGTGGACCACCATGTCTGTGCACCGGTTGCTCCCAGTACTCACCTGTCAACCTTGGTCTTTCGCCATGCATCATCCTGACCTCTCTGTCCAACCATGCAAAACGATCTGCTCCAGGTTGAAGATGATGCTGCTGTTGTGACTGTTGATCCACTGGAGTCCAAAAATCCTCCAAACCGTCAAAACCTGTTCCACCACCCACGTGCTCATCAACTGCAAATGGGTCAAACTGCCATGGTGGAAGTTCTGGAAGATCTGCTACCTCCAATGGTGGTTGTCCCGGCGGAACTTGAGTTCCACCAGGTGTTGTTCTTGGTGACAGCGAGTAGTACTGAGGTCGGCGCGGTGGTGTCCTTGGTGGTTCCACGCTTGAACTCTTCTTCTTGAGCTCCTTCTGCAACTCCTCATTCTTCTTTTCAAACTCATCACGCTGGCGTTGCAAGTCCTCAGCATACTTCTTCATCTCTTCCTTTTGTTTCTCCATCTCAAGCTTCTGTCTGTGAAGCTCTTCAACCATTGATTGCTCCAAAGCCCGCTTGAGCTCATCACGCTCATCTCTTCCTTGTTGATTGACATCGTCCACAAAGGTAGTTGTACTACAACCTTGTACTCCACCTTGTGGTTGCCGACTTGCCTCACGTGGCATCTGTCGTCTCATCTCATACTGTTGCACTCCCATTGGAACTCTTTCCAAGGGTGATCCATCATCTTGCCGATGACCTCGTCTTTGAGATTGATCTCGCAGACCACTTGGTACTGTTCGATGACCTTGAACTTGACGTCGTTCAGGTCCATAACCATGACTGACTCCTCGGTGGCGTCCAGTCTCTTGCACATTTCCTTCAGACCTTGAGGGTCCATGACGGCTGACTCCTCGATGGTGTCCAGCCTCTTGCACATTAACTTCAGACCTTGAGGGTCCACGGCTGACTCCTCGATGGTGTCCAGCCTCTTGCATGATGTCAGACCTTTGAACTGGTATCTCACCTCCCAGTCCTCCAGTCTTCCCACCTTGTCTTGCAACCCCATGAGATGGTATCTCACCTCCCATCCCATTGGGCTGCACAACTCTTCCTTGACCATGCCCCTTGCCAGAACGTTGCACTTCTCCAGCAAGTAGCCCTGCTGCGACACCTCGATGGTGCCCAACTTGTTCAACACCTTGAGGGTGTTCATCTTGATCGACACCTTGAGGGTGCCTAACTTGATCGACACCTTGAGGGTGCCTAACTTGCTCGACACCTTGAGGGTGCCCATCACGTCTAACACCTTGAGGGTGTCCACATTGTTCGACACCTTGAGGGTGTCCAGCACGTTGACCTTGTCCAGCATCTTGAGGATACCGAAGGTCCACACCTTGAGAGTGTGCAAATTGATCGACACCTTGAGGGTGTCCTGCATGTTGACCTTGTCCAACATCTTGAGGATGTCGAAGGTCCACACCTTGAGGGTGTACTTCACGGCGACCTTGTCCAGCATCTTGAGGATACCGAAGGCCTTGACCTTGTCCAGCATCTTGAGGATACCGAAGGTCTTCATCATCATTTGATGGCATAGCCCCTTGAGTCTGCAAGGCCACACCTCGTCTTGTACTCCAACTTGACGGAGCACTCATTCGTCCCATTGCTAGCGGCTCCAACTCTCGCGACGCGTCTGCATCTTCTATCTCCGGAAGGTCCTCCTTGACTGAGACCTCTTCCCTTGGCGTCCACATCGGCTGCTCCATGGCCAACTGACGTGCTTCTCGTAGGTGTTCTTGCTGAACCCCTGCTGACCACCACGGATTCGGCTCGGTGCCTAAGTCCAACAGGTCAGTGCTCACATCCAGTTCTTGCCGTAGAGCCCCTCCATGTTCGCCTCGTAGTAGAGCTCGTCCTCCACCTTGACCATCACTGCCATTGGGTAGAGCTCTTTCATCTCCACGCCGAAGGTCTCTGCCATCATGTCCAGCTCGGTCTCTTCCATGCCCTTCTTGGCCTTCTTGATCCAGCCGTAGAGCACGAGGTCCACTTCTACCAAGTGGCACCGAACATGACCTAGTCCACGACATGGCAGGCGCCCCTCAGCTGAGCGTTGGGCTCATAACCTGTGCAAGGCAGAGCAGCGCGCCTTTTGATCCTAAAAGAGCCTAGCAGTCAAGCTAGTTGAGTTGTGGTGCACACTGATAAGAACAGATACTTCACCTGTCCAGCATGTCACAGTCATGTACATGAACCCTTTTGCACTGTGAAATAATGGTTGTTTAAAACTACTAGAGAGTCAACGACCTGCATGAATGGATGTGCCAAAGAGTACTTAGACAATTTATCCAAATTCTGTCGGATAGCTGATTACATGATGTTCTTAAACTTACGGACTGTTGTTTGGGTCTGCATGTGTTGTACAGGGAGCATCCGATTGGGACCCCATACCATCAGATCTCTCACAGGTCATTGGAAGAATGGTGGGATTTTCTGGCTGTGTCTTACGATGGTGTATAATGGTGTATACCGTATATCCCCACATGGTAATCGGATTTGGTGGTACCCTATTTCAGACAAACCATTATCAACCAAGTGCTGCAAGTTGGCTGTCGCCCAGCGGTGTATCCAACATATTTGCTTGCTGATCGAGCGACGGGTGGTTAAACACTTCACTATTATTGCAATCGTCATGGCGGGAATAAATACTATACAGCGTACACTTAACATACATATTGCTGGAGTATTTAAGATTAGCAATGAATCATTGAAATAATTCAACCAGCAATATTGTGGAGTATTTCCAATGATTAACATACATATTGTGGAGTATTTCCAGAGATTCAACGCCCCCCTTCTTTTTTGGTGGACAGAGACTCCCTGCCCGAGGAAATATCCTGCGGGCTTTTGCACCAGTTTCCTGATCACAGACCAGCCATTTGGTCCTGGAGACCGGGGGACCTGAGGGAATGGTGATATTTGTTCATCACGTGGATAGGGATATGTACAGTCATATATATATATACACACATACACGTTGCATGATGTAATATTTTATAAACATCTATAAACAATATATATATATATTATGTTTATATATATTATATAAATTATGTTTATATATATATATATATTATTTATATATATATACATATGACGATCATATGATAATATATACACATGTTATACAATAGTGTTTGTTTTTCCATGTATGGATGAGTTACCTAAATGATAGAGGGATAGAGGATTTGACCAATCAATAGGTGTTGTGGACATGAGGTGAATGATAGCCACAAGGGGTACATCAATTCGCAGCGAGTTCTGGCCTGGAACTAAATGGGCCATGGCTTCCAGTTCGCAAACCGTTTTTATGTTCACAGAAGCTGTAGATTTATGGCCCGAAATACCAGTTGTAAGTCAGCTATAACCCCAGTTATGGAATGAGGGGAGCTCATTTATATCCAGAACAGATAACTGGTAGATAAAGGGCTTTAAGTGTATATATGATGGTTTGTTTCTTCTAGTTAACGCAGCTGCTGCGATCACTATATATTTTTTCTCAAACTAACCAAGGCTTAACTCCATGGCTGTGTACAGCAGTGGGAATATGGTTTATAACAGCCACATATGACTAGAAGGTGGTTTCCCAGTTAGATATTTTATTTGAAGTTTTATGGTACCAACAAAAATCAGGGTATAACTGGTACACCCAACAGAAAAGTTGAGATTTATAGTATTTGAATATAGCTAAGATGGTTTATGACTAACATTTCAATAGCGTTGGCAGATATGTCGATCAACTCAATGGCGGCCCAGGCTGGGTTCGCTGCGTCAGCACTTTCACAACTTCCGCTTTGAGATGTTTCCTTCGCGGTGCCGCCGTTTGGGACGGGCACAATCTGCTGGCGCATGGGTGAAAGGTCAGAGACAAAGACTCGCAAAAATCACTGGATTAGGCGGGCAAGTCTACAGGAAACCATGCTTTTCCCCACAACATATATAGGGGTTCCGATAAGAATTAAAATGTTTGAACATGTTTGAACAAACCGGAAGTTTCGCCAAGCAACAATGAAGATTTGAGCCGGCAAATATGAAGGTTTATCCAGCCAAAAGCAGATACTTAAGTAAGTTGGATTTGTTGCTAATCAAAACTGAGATTGGTTTGAAATGAGGTTTCTACTTGGATGTGCCTGCAACTGGATGGCTGCAAAGTCTGCTGGGGTCTGGAATAGCCGTCCAATTCAGATTTTTAGTCCCTAGGAAAACCAATGGGATTTCCATTTATGAGCTATCGTATAATTGATGTATAGTTGACTTGAAGGTTGTAATTAGTATTGAAGATTTATATCCAAAAGTTGATTTTCGTGCTGGGCACGGAATATTTGTCCTTGGTCTTTCTAAGTGCTGATCACAGTCCAGGCATTTGCCGGTACTCACTGGGCGCCGCGACCACCATGAGAAACTGATAGAGGTCAGAGCAAGTTGTAAATCACTACAGAACTGGCGCCACTGGCTGGTGGTTTCATTGCGAATCGCATTTTCAATCTATCTATCTATCTATCTTTCTATCTATCTATCTATCTATCTATTTATATATATATATTATATCAAGGGATACTATGATATTCAACCGCTTCCATATTTGGATGGGCCCAAAAAAAACCCTAGCTGCAGTAGCCAAGTTACGCCATAGGCCACGGCCACTTGCACATCTACAATTCAGGGTGGTGCCCCATCCTTAGCTAAGTTGGTGCCAGTAACTCCAATTTCACTATGGTTTATGGTAGATATATCCATACTATGGTGCTCTGGCCAGAGTTTGTAAAATAATAGAAGACAGGTCAGATACAGCAGATTGGGTAGCAGTGTGGTTGATAACAAAGAAAGTTTTGGCCTTCGTCGACAAGCAAGATCCAACGCGAGAGTGTAAGCGGCGGCGTCAGGGAAGATCCCACAAACCCAATTTGAATCAAGGATCGCAGGAAGCAAGCAAGACGGCAGAGTGTCTTACTGTCACCGTCGGACAGTCAGGATAAATGTTGCTCAAACAGCTTCCCCCGCAGGATCTGTGCCTACGCGCACTAGAACCGGCGTTGAATGGGTGGCAGGTTGATGGATTACCTCCCTGCACGAGGGCACCGTCGGGGCACCGCTGCTCTTTGCACAGACACTTCTTTAGACTTGATCTGCAAGTCGATTCTGTGGGCTGAGTCGAGAGGTTCTATGATTGATGCTGGATATATCCAGAGTTAGATGAGATCAAACCAATCAACATGTCACTGCAGTTAAAGCCCTAAAGCATCCTAAAGCCAGTTAATTATTTATTTTTATGGTCATAAATGTGGTGATCATTCCATAAATATATAACTGGGGTGACAAAAACTGATTTCTACCTGCGATTTCGTGCCTTGTTTCGGACCTTGTTGTGAGCCGAGCCTTCGACATCCTTAGAGCGACCTGCCCCAGAGAGGTCTGCGGCCGGGGAGCCACTTTCTGCTCTGGAGGTGCGGTTGATGTCCTGGGTTTTTCATGGGAATATTCACCTTGGAGCGGGCAGTTGAGGAACTGTTTTAACAATTATATGGGAGTGGGTCAACATACATTATTAACATATATTATTAATATTATTATCAATTTTAGTGGGATGCACATCCATGACTAACATTTACCAGCTATTTTGGGCTTCACTAGGTGCCAGGGTTTTTACCCATTGCCCATTGCCATATAACATTTATGTTTTTATGTGTTTCCAACCGATGTGCTTCGGGTATCATAGGCCGAGATATAATAGGAAATACGACCAACTATAGTATGGATAGGCCATTTGGATCTAGCCGTTCTTTCGAGCAGTAAGTATGACCGGCGTAGTGATTCGAGGGTTGTACTAAGTGATTCGAGGGTTGTACTAAGTACCTTCCAGAAGTATTCGGATCCATATGTCATGTTTATATACTTATTGAATTGATGGTCAGTATTGGTCAGTACATGCTTTTATTCCCGTTTTTTTCCCGAGTTGAGAAAGCGTTGAGATGGTTCGATGGTTGCATGCTGGTTCTCTCCAGCTTTGATACGACGAATGGGGGCATTCATCCATTCATTTGGACTCAGAAAAAGCACCGGTATCGCTTGCCAATAACATGAGTATCGTGCCTTTGTTGTGTCTGTGTGTGTGTGTTCGGACATTTACACGTTTGACTGAGTCCTTGTAGGTGGGTGATCAATCTAATTACTTCTTAATGCAGTCATTCTAGTCTTTTCTTCTCATCTATGGAATGTAGACATTCCCAACTGTTCTCCCCGATTTAGTCCTAGATAATCTCAAAATCGGGAGCCCCAAGTACCGTATATGTATTCATTCCTTTTCTTCGTCATCCTTTCATTTTTGCAGCACCATCACCTGAATCTGGTAGGTCGTTGCCGTGCGGGGTCTCGAGGGAACGCCCTGGCTCGAAAAGAAACAGTTTGAGGACGCAGCGGACGGGCGGTCCCTGGAAGACGATGTGAAAATTCGCCTGGAGTCCACTGGAGTCTGTGTGGTAAGAAAGCTATGCATACCACTATGAAGTGGGGAGCAAGCTACTAAGAGTTTCCTAAGCACATGATAGTTGATGATAGGGGATTATACTAAGCCATGCCAATCTGGTTGGTGGTTTGGAACATGTTTTTTATTGTCCATAGTATATGGGATAATCCTTCCCATTGACTAATATTTTTCAAGATGGTTAAAAGGAGCAACCAGCAATATATTGGGGAATATCACAATCCTCTGGGGGAATCCTTATCAAGCAACGAGTAAAAATGTGGGTTGATTAGACATCAGAGGGGCCCACAGTGGTTTCACTTGCTAAACGACCCAGGGGTTGAAAGAACATCTAGGGTGCACATTAGCAGAGGAACTGAACCAAGAAAATGTGGGTATACAACATTATACAACCAATTGTCAAAAAGTGGAATCTAATTAAATCTAAGTTTCCCAAATGGGTGATTTATTATTGTTCTACTCACACTAATGGGCTATATAAGCGACCGGATATGATGTGGCTGTGTCTGGAAATGGTGGGGATTTACTCTGGGCCTGTAGATATACCTAGGGCCTCCTCAGACTTAAATTTCAGCCCGAGCTCAAAAAGGCTGTTTTTCTGCCCGAGTTCTTAAAATCCGCCGGAGTCCCAAAAATCTGCCTGAAGCCTTTTTGAGTGTGGTGTTTTAACTACGAGGCAGCTTCATTCAAGAAACATCAAGAGCATGCAGTTTGGGAAAATCCGCCTGAATAGTGGGAGAATCCGCCTGAATAGTGGGTAAATCCGCCCGACTATCGTCTTTCAAAATCAAAAAAACAATGGGAATAATCCTTGAGCCTGCCCTGGTTATAATGGCAAAATCTGACTGAATGGCAAAATCCGCCCGAGGTCTAATTTTCAGCCCGAGGATCTAAAAGGATCCTTTTAGGAAAAGGTTTTAATTTTAGCCCGAAAGGTGGTGCTAGGTATGGGGGTTTCCAGAAATGGGGGTACCCCCAAAGGGATGGTTTATAAGGGAAAATCCTATTAAAGTGGATGATGAGGAGTAGCCCCATTTTAGGAAACCTCCATATCATGATATATCTATAATCATACTGAAGTAGATCAAATATGGGCTTCTAAGAGCTATTCCCATATCAAATATGGGAGGATTTTGAAATGTGAATATATTCTATCCACTCCAGAATCACTATACCATGAAGCTGTTAAACGTTACTTATGAAATCTGATCGAACTTCGTCGATGGCTAGCATTGTCGCGGAGAGGATCTCTCCACGAAGGCTGCTGAACTGGTGGTGCCTCGCTGATAGAACCAAGGATTGCTTGTGGAAATGGAATGAAATGGATCCTGACTTGGCTCCAATGATAGTAACAGACCTAAAAGAAGGGACTAGTTTTTTTTTTGGGAGTGCTGTAGTTTTTTTTACCCTCGGGCATGTTAAACATTGATTTTGTTTTGGTTGGAGAACCACACAGACAAGCTGTTAAGCTATCAACATGTTTAATCAACAGATCCAAACATGACTTGGCTGTCATCCTTGTTTTTGCTGTAGGTCAACCCCATGCGAATAAAGCCTGGTTGATGAGCCCTGGCCCTAGTGATGTCATTTGCTATCCTAGTGATCAACTGGCCAACGGTTGATCCAGGGTCCATGCTTCTGTTTACGCCGTGGTGCTCCACAGTCAACTAGTTGTTGATTTATAACTTGAATAAGTAGGATTTATGGTTATGGTCAATATATCGAACCAACTAGTTAAGTGGAGTTACAAACCAACATAATCCAACAAATGTGTCACTGGGGGGCACCACTTTGCTGATATCCCATCACTCTGCAGGGTAATATTGGCTGTTGGCTAATGTGCACCCTCCCCTTTCCGCACTATAAAAAATACGAATCAGTATAATAAACCCTGGCTGACCAAGTGGGTGCCCCCCCCAGCCCAGTGATATCAGTGATATCCTTGGAAAATTGCTCCTAAAGGCGGCGCCTCCAACGGTAAACATTCCAGGTCTTTCTGAATCCTTGCTTGTCATTGGATGAATATGATACTCTCTGGTTATTTGTTACATAGCCATGGTATAGATGGTCCATTTATAGATGGTTTACCTATTAAAAATGGGGATTTTCCATGGCAAACTGTTAGTCATAACCAGATGTTTATAATTTTACAGACCTCGTGGGGATGGATCAAAGATGATCAAAGACCTATGATTCATACCTCTCCATTGACAGGATGAACATCAAAAAAATCATCCATAAATCCAGCAAATGACGAACTCATATTTTTCAGAGGGGTAGGTATACCACCAACCAGCTATTCAAATGGATGATTTGGAGCTACCCACCGAGGAGTTTGAGCTGGGACAACTGCGGCAGCTGCCGCCTTCCCAAATCCTGGTCACGGACCACCACAATGCGGACGATCATGGATACCCTCCGGTAAACATACAAAAAACTGTGGAAAATCACCATGTTTTATGTGTAATTCAACTATTTCAATGGCAATTTTCAATAGCAAACTGCTAGTTTACCAGAGGGTATTGCCAACAGACTTCGATTGGGGGAATTTTGCGGACACAATGTTATGGATTTTCATGGTAATGTGGTCCAAGTACTCACTGCCTCATGCTTCACATTTTTTTCCTGAAAACTATATATAAAACATATATATTGAATAGTGAATATATGTGAATATTATGAAATCATCTGAAATCAAATGTCATGTTGTTTCTCCGAATCTGAAGTGCTCCCATGTACCGGTCATCCGTGGACAGCTGGAACATCTCCATGGCTAGTTCGATGACTTTCCCATTGAAGCTTCCATTTATCCTCTGGTAATACAAAAAAAATATGCAAAATCACCATTTTTAATGGGTAAATCCATGTAAATCCACTATTTCGACTGGGTCATTTTCAATAGCGAACTGTTCAATTACCAGAGGGTACGTGATTTTCATTGATTTTGCCATATTCGTTTGATTTTCCCATTGTTGATAGGGGATTGTCCAGCCATGTTTGATGACACGGTTGCGGGTACATCCAGTCACCCGGTTTTTCACATTGCTCCAGGATCGCTTTGAAGATTGGAAAGACCGGTTGGCCAAAGCTTACAGGCGCCCCCGTTACCCCCATTCAATAGTGGCCAATTTGCTATCTAAAGTTGGTACCCCAAACTTGCCCTCCAGTATAGACCCTGGCAGATAGGGTTTGGAAGATTTGTTTCTACGATTTTCAGCGTTAATTTTCCAGAGTGTACATTGAAAACTGGGAGGGTTACGAATCATGGCTTAACATTACGCCAGCATCACCGAATTGGAAGTTACCATGGGAGTCCATCTTTAGGAGTTTGCGAACGGTTAAGAAAAGGATTGATAGCATGTTATAGTACTCCTTTCAGAACATGTTATAAAACTGTTATAATTGTTAAACCAGTTTTACAGCAGGTAAAAACAGTAGTTAATGTTATAACAATAAGTACTGTTATAACCATAATCATTTACTTATGACTGTCGTAATCCTATTTGCGATGGGATATGTTGAAGTATTGTGGGTCTCAATGGTAGGAGCATGTCATCATGGATGAACGTACCCGCATCGTCTGTTTTGTTCTTTTTGGTTGCATTTTCATCAGGATGGATTTAACATGATCTGTGATCATTGACTTTTAGGTTAAAACACCAGTTGGTAGGATTAGTTCACCCCAGTGAAACATCTGGACCAACCCTACTTACATCTACCCTACTTTTTACTGGGATTACTTGTGAACCAGCAAGGATACGGTACAGTAGATGCACAGGTGAATATTGACTCTGAATTACCTTGGACTTCCTGGTTGTTGAACTTCCAAAACACTTGGCTGGGAAATTGAGAAATTGCTGATTTTAGGACGGAAGGTTCACACATTGCTTACCATAAGCGATTTGAGATGTTGAAACTCACGGCCATCTTGGCTCTGGAAATCCGCTGCCTAGTGAGCCATGAAGGCCACCAAACAGCAAACAACCATGAAGTCCAAGGCCACCCAGTCCAAGAAGTACGCCATGCTTCCCAAGACCATGCACCACAGGCCTCCCATGCCATTTCTGGCATTGCAGTGTACCAATGAAGGATACCCAAGCTGGATGTGGCTATGGAAACTCCATTCCATGCCAGCATGTTCCATGTGGCAAGAGTGGTGCAAGTCCATCCATGGCCATGGCTTCTGGAGGATGTAGCCAGTAACACCACCAAAGGGCCCAGCAATATACTTCATCATGTTTTAATGTTGTATTTCTAACTTGCTGTTGGTTACATTGCTGTCTTTTAGGCCACACCTTCAATTTGCGTTCGTCAAATCCTGTATATAAATCCTCGGGTTTTATTGATTGAATCGCCAATGAATTGTTGGTTATATACAAGCTTTCCTACGTTGCTGTTGAAATCAAATCCATGCATATGTGCGTTACACCTATGCTTATGAACCTGTTTTTTCTTGTTTTTTCAAGCCAAACCCAAATGTTTTTCTTTTTAAAAAAACATCTCATTTTTAGTGATAAAACACCATTAAACAGATCAACACCATGAACTTTTGTTTGTATTTGGTAACCTTTTTTCATGTGAAATCCCCAGTTTTTCAGTGGAAATGACGACTCGCTTGGCCAGGCGGATGTTGGCGCTGCACGGATGACGCTCCTCAGAACCTGGGTATTGAGAGGGTGTACCCCCATGACTATGGAAACATCAATGAAACGCTAGACCCTCTAACCCCCCAAAATTCTGGGTTTGTTTAAGGTGATTGAAAAAACACATCCACCATGACTGGGGAATCTATAGTGAAATATAGTGAAAATGATTACCCTCTGGTAAACATACAAAAAAAAACTGTGAAAAATCACCATTTTCAATGGGGTAAATCAACTATGTCTATGAAATCATGTTCAATAGCTATTATGTTAGTTTTACCAGAGGGTAATCTTTTGGGGACCCCTTAAGCAAATTCAAGAAATGGTAAAGTACTAAAATGACGGATGATGAGATTGGGATCTTTTGGGTATATGTAACGGGTATATCATGCGGATTTTCATAGATCCAAAACATGGCCATTTCGGAAGGGGACAATGATGATAATAAGATATGATAAGCATCAAATTTTTGGAGGTACCCAATTTTCAGACAAACCCAAAGTACCCCCCATTACCCCACCTTTGTTCTTGTGGTAAAATCCATGGTTTGTTGATGTTCCCTCAAACCAATCCGTAGAAAACCCATCGAAAGTGGTTGATAAGCCAGGAAAGTGTCAAGTTTTGCAGGGGTGAATTGAGCCAGTCTTGTAAAAAGGTTTTTCTAGTCAGGTGGTTTATTATCGTCATTTTTTGTGAGATGTTCAACCCAAAGACAGGGGGGTTTTGCATGGTTTTTCCCAATTTAGCAAACGAAAGTTGCAAATTACTCTCCAGCAATCAAACTCAAAGAGGAAAATCCTCCATTCAGTTCGATGATTTTTCCAGCTGGCCCTGCTGCATTTTAGGGGATTTCCAAGCCATGTTTGATCAGTGAAGGGTCAGACGGAAGCACTATCACCTTGATCAAATGTCTTTTGTTTCTTAATACCAGATATAACTTGGATGATCCTTGGAGAATGGTCCGTGCTTGGCTCGATATTGATCTATTTTATAGATACATCCGGATACCTTTGGGGCCATCAAACCTTGCAGAATCTTCGCAGAGGTCAGTGATCAAAGCCAGATACCGAAAAAGGGTCCAATCTCAGATTCTAATCGGCATAGGACCAGAAGAAATTGCAGATTTGGGACATATGAATGGTAGTTGAAACATCCACACTGTTTGTGTACAAACTTTTGACAAATTTGGTGGATGTCGCCTGGCTGGGTTGGATCTGAGCCGAAAATTGCCCTACTGAACCACTGGGGAGGTATGGTACGGCCCCACGTTCATCGTTTCTTGATGTTTCTTGTGTAACCCCCAAAATCCTCAGTATGGATATGCTAGTAAGTTATATTTATTATACAACTATATAATTATATAATATGTATTTATATAAATATATACAAACAACAATAAAAGTTTTATAACTATGGAGCAGCACCTGGTTGCAATCGATCTCTCACCCGGACTCTGCCTTCAGCCCTTCCCCAGCCCCAGCCCTTCCCCTGGAGTTCGCTGAGGAGCGCGAGAAGTAGAGTATCTTCTGCCGTGCGCAAAAAGACGTGGAGATACGACGTGAGAATTTGCTGCTTACCACTATGGTCACTACAGTAGTAATACTCGTAATACTCCATATGGTTCCCGCCGTGCCGTATCGAGAAGGTAGTGGCTGGATCTTAGTGAATAATTTGTTAATATGATTCAATATGGGATGGTTGCTTTATTAGGCTTACTTTTTTCCAAAAGCATTCATGTTTTCAATGGCTACACAGGTACAGAAAATGTTCATGTTCATGATGGGATCTATAGTGACAGCCAATGGCAGCCACATGTTCACCGAGGTAGGGCCTCATGGCAATGGCAGCAGCCAATTGTGTTTGGCTCCCGAGGGGGGTCACTGGCAGTGGAATCCCATAGTTGCTACGTCAGAGCGAGCTATGAGTTGTTTGCCGTTTGTTTGGGAGGCTAGTGTTTTCTAATCCCCCAACATGTACCCTTTTCTTGCAAGAATGGTGCTTCTTATTGAAGGGAAACATTTTGTCTTCTAGGCAAATTGTAACCTGCAAGCAGCATTTCTCTGAAACATTGTTTTTGTTCAAAGAATGCTGTAATGTGCATTGACTATTACACTTGTTGACAGCAATACTGAATGTTAATCACACACTGCATTGTGTAGGAATCTAGTGTTTTGAAAAGATACTGTATGATTATGTATGATTGATGATTGGCCTAGCAGCCTAGCATTACTCTTAAAGGAAGACTGCCCTTCAGAAAGGATCACTGCATGTTTAGAGGGATGCTCCATATTTTGTAGGTTTACTGCTTCTTGAAAGAAGGAAACAGTCAACGTCTTGAAGGAAAACTGCAGCTGAATGAAAGGTGCTTTTGTACAACGAAAGGAACGCTGCAATTTACAAAATATTGCTTCCTTCAAGAAATGTTGTGATTTTTGACCTGAGTATGCGCTTGTCCTTTTTGAGAGTAATAGTTTGTATTCACTTTGTTTATGCAAAAGGTTCTTAACAAATGCTACATCCTTGAGATTAGCAAAAGGCTAAAAAGATAATCTTTTGGTGGGAAGTAGCATTTATAGACATATACACACATAAGTAGTGCGATATATCTACCATAAACCTTAGTTGCCGCGACCTACTTAGTGTCACCAACTTAGCTGTATAACTATGAGCCAACGCCCTGTACCAAATCGGTATAACAGTGTCCCAGCAAACTTTAGGAGACCCCAACTCAGATTCCAGTTGCAAAATAGTCTGTGAAACATTCCAAACACGAATTGATTCTTTGGGTCGAAGACATGTTCTTCGGATTTGTTTTCCCGAAGAATGCTGCATGGTGACCAATTTCATGGCTCACCATGGATCTTCGGGTGAGCCAAAGAAACAAAGACTTCACGAGCCAGCCCAATTGAGCATTGTTCAACCTCCCTTCCTGATTGTGGTTTACAGTATCCGAATCTATCCAATACCCTCTGGTAAACAACACAACTATGGAAAATCACCATTTTTAATGGGAAAATCCACTATAAATGGCAATTTTCAATAGCTATGTTAGTTTACCAGAGGGTCTATTGGGGAGTATCAGAAAAATCATTCACAAAAAATGGGAAATCCGATCCGTGCACGTGACGCATGTGGCAGGTCACCGTTTAGCGGAGATGTACAACGTCCCAGCCCTGGTCGTGGAAGAGCTCATTGAGGCACCACAATATCTACACTAATAACTCCAATAGCTCCAATTACTCCAATAACTACGTTTTTTTTAATAAACCCCAATAACTATGGTTTATTGTGGTTTACTGGTTTGTGGTTTGGAACATTTTATATGTTTCCATATATTGGGAAACATAATCCGCCATTTGACTTTCACATTTTTCAGAGGGGTAGGTCAACCACCAGCCAGGTTTATTATGGTTTTTATTATGTAACTTAAACATAATCTTACGCATAATAATAATAAAAATAATATATATATATATATATTATGTAAGTTTTTATTATGTAAGTTAAACATGTTATGGTAACAATAATCTTACCATACATAGTTTAATGTTAACAATTATACCCATTAAATGGCGCATATATTAATAAACATACCAAAAAAGGCAATGAATGGCGCATTCCCCCAAGCCGCCACTTAACCGAGAGATGGGTCCCGACTTCGCCAGGATATGGCTGGCCGTGAGAGTCCATTGGCTTTGCAGATCAAAGAACAGCCCAGTTCTTAGCGCTGCTGGGTGCCTCCCAGTACGGGACCCTCTGGTAAACACACAAAAAGCTATTGAAAATTGCCATTTATAGTGGATTTTCCCATTAAACATGGTGATTTTCCATAGTTATGTTAGTTTACCAGAGGGTAAGTTATGGTGAGTGAACGGTGGTGAAAGCTGTGAAAGTATGGAAGTTTGAAGAGAAAGTTGTGGCAAAACACTGGTTGTACCATGCTTTGATAGCAAAAGATGAGGGGCTATTGTCAGGCAGATGTTAGCTACTTACTAAATAGGTCCAAGTATGAACAGCCAGGTGAGTTCTCAGTGGGGCTATTTTGGGTACGGGATGGTAGTGGTCAACATGGAAGACACATGAAGACGCACAGGTTTTGGCTGGGGCGGTACTGAAAGATCATCTAAGCATATCGAAGTTCCTGCTACCTCTATGCTTTCACTTGATGCATCTGCAACTGGATGCTATTATATAATAATTGATATTAATGGTATATTAATGGTATGTATATGAATGGGATTGGGCAACAGTTTACAACATGTGTTACTTTTAAACTTTTAGTGTTACTAAGTGTTTACTAGGTGTTTGCATGATCAATCGGACACACATCATTAATGTCCATCATGTTTACCAACAGTTTGGCTACATGATGTGTTACTAAGTGTTGCAATCTCCATCATGTCCCCACCATGGCTTGAGCAAGCTCAAGAAGCTTGTCAGGCAGCCTGGTTGCCGACCAACCATAAGTAAGCCATCTATTGTGGCTGGGCGCATAGATCATCATAGAATATCATTCATATACTTCAAGATAGAATTCATAGATATGCAAAGACTTGGAGTAGCCGCTTGGAGTAGCCGCTCGAATAAGCTCAGCAACCAGCTCAAATGGATGCCAAATATAGATGTCCCCAGAAAGGGCCAAGATCACTGTTTGTCACTTTTTTTGGTGTTTTTTTTAACACAACAACCACCATCCCCCAATCAAACATCATATTGTAACAAGTGCAAATGCGGACTTGGGGATGCAGCTCCACTTGACAAGTCGACAAGATGAGTATACTTATGACTTATGGACTTCATGGACGATATTTCACCTTAACCATGGTGTTATATATATATATATATATATATGTGTGTGTGTGTATCCGTGTGCAGAACCGTGATAACCCCAACTGCCCCCCCCAATAGCTGAATTGCCAACCAGGACGTAACTCCTGGATTTATGGATCTTCTCCATTTCTTTGCTATATCAGCTATATCCAGCTATCATGCTTAATATTTAATATCAACGTTGGAATCACCATGAAATCACCACTTTTCAACACACTTTTCAAATCCGCCGGTGCAGCCGGACCTTCCAACGATGCCGTGGCGAGCAGCGCTGCTCGCGCTGCTCGCGAGCCGCGCCCGCGGCTGCCGCTTCCTGGCGGAGCTGAGCGGTGCCACGGCGCCGGAGCCGCGGGCGCTGCAGCGCCACAGCTGCGAGGGCCGCGGAGGGCGTTACATCGACGTGGCCGTGACGCCGTGCCCGGGATCGACACGATCCGATGGAAGTTGGGGATGGGGTAAAGCCAAGCCATTTTTCGTATTTTTTTCTAGAGATCATTAGAGATTTTGGAGGATTTTATTGGGATGAAAGGTCAGTTGTTGTTTATATAGTCTAACTTTACCAACGGCCAGGTTTAACCTGGTTGTTGGAAGATGCTCCTATATATGTATATATATATATATATAGATAGATAGCTATGTTTATAACCATTGCATACTTTGTCCAGGAAGCTCACATCTCATGTTGGGAAATAATGGTCAATATATGTGAATAAAAAGGCCATTTGGTTCAATTCGATGCAAGTAAAATGCGCCTGGGAGCGCGGGCTCTGCGCAAACGTCTGCATCTTAGATCATGATGTCACCAAATACAAAACAGAATATAACCTGCAGGGTGAAAGTACCTACCTGAAATTTCCCACAAAATCTGGACCGTGAAAAGTCCGTGAAACGACCGTGAAAAGGAAACGGCCGTGAAAAACGCGTAAAAAAACACAAAAAACTGCGCCTCATTTTTACTCATTGTTTGGGTATGTTATAGTATTTTCATGGATTTTTCATTGAAATCTTTGGAACCATTGGTCATTTCAAGCAGTCTTGGCACTTATAGACTTGAATTGGTTGATGAGCAGTTGTTGTTGCTGAGGCTGTGGAGTGTATGTGGGGTTTGGTGGGTTTCCCCTTATATATATATATATATATTAATGTCAACATACATCCCAAGATTCCCAAGATCAACAAAACCCTTATATAAATTTAGGTAAATAAATACCATGGGTTTTCGATGGTCTTTAGATAGCGGCCGGCTGTGTAACGGCCAAGTTTCACCAGATCCATCCTGGATGGATTTTGAGGGTAAACAGCCTCCCAAACTGTCATGGATCCCAGAGGGTTGGACGATTGCGGGAACAAACAACTGGCTATTCCCAGGCCCCAGGGTCTATCTTGATTTACTGGAGGGATTTTTTTAAGCTCAAGAGAAATGGCAAGGTTTTTTTTGTAAGATGTGGGAATTCGTGTCCCAAGAACGAGGGTCCATTGTATTCCATTGTTCTGGCAACATTTTTTTTTTTTTCGGGACCCAATCCCAAAATGTGCAAATCTTCCGATTATTAGATGGTTGTATAGAGATATGTACAGTATGTGTTGCACACCCTTTAATTGGTAAAATAGTTTGTTTATGTGTGTTTAAGATACAGGTATTAGGCACAGGAATTGCTGATCACTTTGTTACGTTTGATCAATTTCATCATTGTGATTTCATGACTCATGCTGAACATCCGCATCTCCTGACCACCATCTCCCATTGTTGCTGGGTAACAAGTAAAATGCTGCTGGATTATCATAGGCTATTATACATACAGTATATAATATAATGAATCATAATTGTTACTGTAGTTGATTTGACTCATTTGGGATTGCTTTATTTCAAACAAGCTTAGTGGCTTAGTGGTTTAATGCATTACCTGATGAACTGTTTGTATGTTTTACCCTTCAGCAAATGAACATAGACTCTGAAAGATAGGGATGGGATGATTTTTTTCGTTTCCACTCAAAAAAGTGGTTGATTTTTTTGTTCAGTCTCACCTTAAGTTCATTTACATGAACCATTTATGTATAACAATTTACAATAAATTGGGTATTGGGTATATAAGAAACGAATTCACCATAAATCGGGTAACTCAGCATGAAACCTGAGCCGATCCTCAGGGCATCCACCGGCAGCGTGGTGCAACGCTTTCCCGCGGCGGGCGCCCTGGCGGGCGCCTGCGTGGAGGGTGACGATGCGGGCTGCGCAGAGGATGCCGAGCTCAAACACCACGTGGAAACTGGGCAGATGGATCCGTTGGATCAGTGGGGGATGGATGATCTTAAAATGCTGAGAAAAAACCATCGTCAACCACGAAAAATGGAGGTTTACATATGGGTTTATGATCTTAAAATGTTGATTTTACTACGACAAATGGAGGGTAACTCTATGGAAGATGGAGATTTAACCAGGAAAACATATGGAGGTTTCGTGCAGTTTTCATTATGGCATTATGGTTTCGGTAAAGCAACTGGATGGTACTTGATTCTTAGGGAAATTACCATTAAAACATGGTGATACAATGGAGAGGGATACTGTATAGCCTAATAACAATCTGGTTGTTACAGCTACAAAAAGACACTGATTAAGTGCTTGTAATCCCAAGATAGCCACCAACTTGGCTCTTGGTTTTTATATAGTTGAATTGTTGAAAGGGGATCAAGACGCCAGGAGTTGTTTTTTTCGTGGATCCTCGTAGGTTCGTGCCATGATCCACATGATCCAAGCGTTTGAATCGTATGAAACTGCTTTGGGTCAAATTATTTTTGGTCAATAATTATCCCCTGTATGTCCGTATGGCTCACAACTGCTGGAAAATCGTCCTTCCCCTTTTCTGAACCATCTGATATAAACAGTAACTATGTATAATTCACCAAAACTCCCGGCAGTCATGGGGTGCACCTTGAAACCACCGGCCGAAAAACAGTGAGTTCTCTGCGGATTCTCGTGGTTTTCAAAGCCCCATTTCTTGGGACCGAAGGACACGTCCTTCGCGAACGGCTGTCGCGATGGCCACCCAACGCTCAGCCTGCTTTGGATGCAGTGGCTCCATGAGGCAGTGCCGCAGCCGTGGCAGCCGGAGGGTGTCTTGGAACGAAGAACATGGCAAACATGATGCTCTCTGTGGTGCCCCAGTTCGTGCTAAGTTGGTGCCAAGAACTTAACAATTTCACTATGCTTTTTTATGGTACATATATCTATAGTATTCGCAAACATGAATCCCAGATGCTCCATGGTGCTGGAATATTTGCCTACAAAACTGGGCCATAAAAATGGGGTAAATGTAGGTAAATGTTCCATACAGCATCTGGGAATGAACATGATGGGAGATTTCTCAGAGATTTTTTATGGGGTGAAAGTCGAGGCAACCAGTTTTTGATAGTTTGAGAGGCTGCAGACCTCCCCTGGATTTCCATTGAAAAGAGTTTCTGTCATGGTATGTTCGCCTTTACCGTAGATATTGAAATCTATCGGTTGCGGACAAATACGCTGGGGAAAGCTTGGGTGGCTAGTTTAGTACTTCAAGATCATGAGCCTTAAAGCCCATATGCTCCATGGTGCTGGAATATTCACCAACATTTGCCCGAACCAAATCATCCAGTTTTGTAGGTAAATTTGTCATACATGGAGCATATGGGAAGGGGAATATAGAATTACTTTGAAACATATGAATTGATCTAAGACTGTCCACGTAAGCAGTCGGGCACCTCCAACATTGGCAGTGAGATCCAGCTGCTTAGAACATTGGCGACAACCGGGAGGGTCTGTTCATACCTGGGATTGATGAAACACTTGACATTTTGTGCCATTTTTGGGACCCGAGCTGTGGATTTTAAAAACTTCCCGGGATGAACTTTACAGCGGATATCCCGGATATCCCATGAATTTTCCTTGAGAAGCTGCAGGATTTATCAGCAGTGAGGCTACTTCATTTTCATGGAGAAGTTGAACGAGAGAAAAGCTCCTCAGATGCCGTTGGTTCATTAAACGCCAACCATGTTGCCGTGACATGGTTGAAATCTGGATCTCTGGCAGAGCTGGAATTAGCTGGATATTTGGTCGACCCATGTTAACTCCAAATGAACACAATTCAGGGATGCTCACATTCGTACCTCAGTATGTGTATTTTATCTCGGGATGACAATTGTTTCAGGATTTGATCATGACTTCCATGATTTTCCATGATTTTCCATGTTCAGTATGGCTGGAAAATGGTGGAACATGTATGTATCCCATGACAGTCATACTTTTTTTTTCGAGAGGTGAGCGATCTGAGGTCGCTCACTATCCGATGGATCCTGTTCAGATGAGGAAATCCTCTGCTTGATTTCATGGTCTTTGGATGTCTTTGGTATATTATTAGCCATTATATATACTGCTTGGTGGTTTGGAACATGGCTTTGATTTTTCCATTCAGTTGGGAATTTCATCATCCCAACTGATGAATATTTTTCAGAGGGGTTGAAACCACCAACCAGGATAGTAAATCCCACTTTTTGACGGTCAAATCCGATGACGCGGAAGTGGATTTTTTTTGGCGTAGTTGGCCCACATGTTTCGCTCTTAATTCCAATCGTATTTGAATCTGCAATTTTGGTTGGTTTTCCTACAATCGGTTTCCAATGCTTTTCCTTTGTGGTTTTCCTTACTGACAGGTTAACTAGGTGAACTATGGTATCATAAGCCATCACGTAGAGTTATTGATCTTGTTGGCCCCACTATTTTCCTTTCTGTTTGTCCTAAAACATCCCCAAGATTATCGATATCTCACAGTTGGCGGCAACTTCCCCCATGGTTTTTGCTCCATCAAATCCCATTAAGCTATCAGTGAAATAAAAAAAACATGAAATTCCGCGAAATCACCATTAAATCCCCCTCCAAAAAAACATCATTTTTGTTTCTTAGTCAATCCCATGAAATCCCATGAAAGCACCATTTTTCCTTTCTGCTTTTCCCATGGTCAGTTAGGCGGTTTTCGGGGCGAAGAAGTTCCCCGCTGGTGAAATCGGAACTATGATGAAAAGCAGATTAACATTTGATCTCAGATCATATTATCATCATAGTTCCTAATATCATTTGTTTTATCTGATTTTAGTAATATGACTAATATTTTTATATCAATAATAATTGATTGATAGTAATTATCATCATAATGTTCAATTTTCCTCAGAATTTTCCCAGACCATTTTGCTCCAGGTTCCCTTCGCGGAAATCGTCAGTTGGGGCGCGCTCTACGAATGCCCCGCCGCCAGCTGCGCGCTGCTGGCGCAGCTGACGCTGAGCTCCACTTCGCCGCAGCAGCACCTGGGCGCGGTGAAGGAAATGCATGGGATGTGCTCCAAAACCATGGGAAAATCCATGGGAAAACCAGACAACCATAGGAAAATGGTAGTTAATTGTAATCAGGAAAACTATATGACATGTTGATATCCCGAAAAGAAATATGAGCTTGAATGGGATTTATAGCCATTTATGATAGCTAAGTTGGTGCCAAGAACTCCAATAGCTATGGCTATGGTTTGTAGTCCTTATATAACCATAGTTCTCGGGGTTTCCAACTTGTACTTGGGGGCCCCACATTGTAATAATGGAGGAAATACAACAGCCAAACAATGGGATATAGTGGCCAGAAACTCTAATCAATTCGATCTGTAAGAAACGCATTTTATGGTTAGCATGAAGATTCAACCAACCTTCCCCATTTCGATACATTTGAATGCCCCTCCAATGAGTAGTTAAGATTCGTCGTTTATTGCTGTGGACAAGCTCTTAGCAAACAGATTGTTAGTGGGGGTGTCACCTTTGGGGGTGGGGGGGTAGCTGCATTCCCGTGATGGTAAACCTAAGATTTGAGATTGGGTCAGCCAAAGATTATGACCTAGAATGCTACGTAAGATATTTGGGACAATTTGGGAATTCAGATTCAGTAACCATGATTACTGTAGATATACCCGGCATTTACAGAAAGATTGATGGGGCCTAGGAAATATCATGATGAAGCATTGGAAGGAATGGGCTGGACAGACCTGTGTGGTGAGCCGTCACCAGCATTTTTTGGTGGAACCACTTGTCAATATTTGTAAATGGTGTTCCATGATTTTGTCGAAAGTAAGATAAGTCTTAAGGGTAATTGGAGAAGGAGACAGTATCCAAGTTACTGTACCAACCCAAACAAGTGAGACAATATTTAGGATAACTCGCAAGGTAACCCATTGTTACTGATTAAGCCCAAACAAACTCGGGTGATATTTATGTATAGGATACTCGTACCTTTTCTTTGCATAGGGATAATCTCACAAATTTGGGTCAATGTGATAATATGAGCTTCAAATTTCGGGCGTGTTTATTATAAATGGAAGAAGACTAGGCACAAGGATTGTATTTCAGAAAGACTAGGATGCTACTTGCAGGTGCAGAAACTAAGAATGAACCTCTCCTCAATAAAAGCTAGTCCCGGATAAGAATTGCCATTTTCTTATATGGTTTTCCCATGGTTTTCCTGGTTAAAACATGTTAAAACTACCATTTTCCTATGGTTTTCCTGGCTAATTAATATGGCCCAAAATCTCCCAAGCGGCCCCTGACATTCAGCTCCCGTGTTTGTGGAGTTTCATCCTAGCGTGTCGCTGAGGTTGCTGGCCACTTTGGGCCTTCCAGCCGATGACGACCTTTTCCTGGACTTGGCACAGCGAAACGCGGCACAGTATGATAGTTCGTACAGAGGTGGTGCCCAGTTGTGTTTGTTGGGTTGTAGATCCCATTTGGATCCATTAGGCATAGAGATAGATATTAATTTATATATATATGTACACATAGTATCATAAACTCCGGTTAACCTAAGATATAGAGACATCAATACCTATACCATAAAGTCTGGTAAAGCTAGTTAGGTGCAACCAACCTTAGCAAACATTTTGGGGTATCACCCTGTAGCTGGATTACGGCTACCCACAATCCAAAGGTTCTCAGAATTTTCTCCCATTCAAGTACCATTTGGGAGGTATACCGGAGTTTTCAGACACACCTTATATATATATACATACATCACAATCAATCATATCATAGCTATAGTTCCGCACATCTACCACAATCCTTATGTTATGAACCAACTCAAAGAACGTTCACTGGGGCGTCGGGGCTGCACCTTCTACCAGGGCCACGTTCAGGAATGCAGTTCTGCTACGATGAGATGTTGACCAATCCGCACCAGCAACAGTTGCTGCACCCTGCCATGCGGCACGGGAGATGTGGAAATTGGGAGTCAACCAGCAACCCTTTGATTTGATGATGAACGAACTTGCTTTGATATTTTTGTCAGGCTAACTCGGTTTTCGGTTTTCGCTAACTTTCAACATTCTTTAACTATGTTGGGTTCCAGTGGTAAGCGACTAAGCAATTGCAAATTTATATCCGAGCTTTTCATGGTCAAATCCTAAGTTTTCTTGGTTTAGTCACACAAAATTCATGTTTCAATGCCAATATTGGTGATTCAATCCTGTTGTTTCATGGTTTTACCATGTTGAATCCACCCTTTTCTAGTCGATTAACCCACCAATTTTTGTGGATTCATTTTCATTGTTTCTGTTTGGAGGATAGATACCTATAGTACTATATTGGAAATCAGTTACGTGTTTGGTCCCTGCAACTATGATGTTGGTTTGGTGGCTTTGTTTTGGAGCCCCGGACGTGAAAAACTGAAATTCCCCATGAAGATCTCACTAAGCCGCCATGCTGGTCGCTCAATCCCACTGTTTAATCGATAAATCGTCATTATTTGGTCTATAAGATAACTTATGAACACACCCATTATATATATATACATGTGTATATATATACACATGTGATATTCTAAGAGAACCCCATCCCATCTATTCCAAACATCCGCATCTTTTTTTTTGGCTGCTGATCCCCAGGACCTGGCTGGGCCTCATCGTCGCAGCCCTGGAACTGGCTTTGTCCAAGGTGCGCGCCTGGGCCAACGCACTGCGGCCGCGGAACCCGCACCACGAGGAGCACCGCCTGGTGTGGCATGACTACTACAGTGGCCACTCGGCGCCAGGCATTTTTTGAACCACGGATCTGGGAAGTCATGGGAAGTCAGAGAAAATTGAAATCAGTCCACGGATTTTGAAAAAGACTGGGACGGATGTATTGTGATTTAATATGATTTGCTACTGTGGCCACTTGGGGATGGCATGTTGAGATACTGTATATGTAAAATAGTTAGAGGTGAGCTATCATGTCTAAAAGTTAAACCATCGGTTATTCACATAATATATATATATATAGTTTAATTAGTTTGTTTAAACAGTGGCGACTTTGGGTTTGGGCAATCGTTGGGCAGTGATTCAATTTCTGGGTTGGAATTGTATATTGGACGAATTTGGTGGTTTCAATTTCAATGCAACTTAGCTAAGTGAATGATGATGCGCTTTGCAAGGTGGTGGAAAAAAGGCAGCGATGATGCGTTGATTACAATGTGCTGTGCCCCAGAGAAAAGTAACACTGGGTTGATTATATATAGATATATAAGTACAATGGGTTTACTCGGTTAACTATTGCTTTATTATATATAGGGTCAGTATTCATTCAATTTTTAAGCAATTGTCATAATTGATTGGAATTTGGAATTGATAAGTAATGTCAACCCCAAATGAACTGTCGACTTGGCAGGTGAACCGCGAGCGCGGTGATATGCTAATGGTAAGCAACTGTTGGCGATCTCCAAGACATCCCCAGACTGGCCCCAGTAAGTCCACGTTGCTAATCCGGCACCACCATGTACAAGGTGGTGCCCCCCCAGTGATATTTGCTGGTTTATAAACCCCAGAATACTAATAGATATATGTACCATAAACCATAGTTATTGAAGTTATTGGCACCAACTTAGCGTTCACGAACTGGGGCACCACCATGTAGGATATTTCACTTGTGAATCTGTGGCCAGGTTTGTACCAAGCAGTGAACTATTCCGAGCAGTTCGACCTGCAGTGGAAGCTGGCATTAGAAACTCGGATGTCGTGTTTGTTTGGAACCCTCATGAACTCATCATACCCTCTGGTAAAGGAACATAGCCATTGAAAATGACCATTTATAGTGGTTTTCCCTATTGAACATGGTGATGTTCCATAGTTGTGTTAATTTACCAGAGGGTAGATCATATATGTTGTCGAATATCAGAATACAGACACGGAATGTCCCTCTCATTATTTTAGCAACTAGGGTTTTGGTGTTTATCTTTGTTTTTATGTTCATCTATTTTCATCTATTCATATAAAAATATGATATAATATGTTGATTAAACATATGATTAGACAATCCTCTCATTAAAAAAACATCCCGGTGGCCAAACCGGCGCCTCGTCCTCCTATTCCCTGGGATGGTTTTCTTCACAGTGGCGGAGCCCAAACGTGAAATGTTTGTTACCCCCATATCTACCATAGACCCATAGTTAGGACCATAACAGCCATAACACTTAATTAAATGTTGACTTACTTACCAATGGGGAGATATTAATCCCCTATAAACTACCGTGAAAAAACGGAGCAACGACTCGCGAGACCTCGTGGCGAGACCTTATTGCAGCACCTTGCTGAACCTGATCCATCCATATCCATCCCATCATTTGTTGGATCTCCATTTACTTGGGATCAATGATGGATGTATTGCTGGAAATTATACAGTACTGGAAAGTTCAGTTTTACTGGAATTTACTTTGTTTTCAATGGATATACCCTCCAGTAAATTAACAGTTCGACCCTGGCAGAGGGGGTGGAAGATGAGTGAAACCACTAAAAATCGGTGATTTTCAGGGCCGAACTGTTGATTTACCGGAGGGTATCAAACTTTCGGTTAAACCCGCATTGTGGCATAGTTTCCATTTTTGTTGGTCATGTCCACATGTATGGATTGCAAGGACCTCACTGCGCAGTCACTGTCAATAGCAGTTCAGTAGGAGGATGTAGGAGGTAAGTATCCCCAAATATCAAATCGCCAAACTTTAAAACATTCTGAAGAGCAACTGGTTACCCTCCTTCTGGAAGCTCTTTCTTCAGCATTATCAGAAGCCGGGGGGATTGCTAGTTTCCTGGCTCGTGCGGATTTTGAGGGTTCAGGGATTGCTATGTGGATTGATGATGAGAAAGCTCGTATGAAACACATGAGGGAAAGTTTGTTGACGACGGCATTGCTCAAAGCGCTTCTTCATCTAAAAGTTGCTTAATAACCCATTCCAGTACCAGTTCACCCCGGGAACTTATTAGTTCACTGCATCAAAATCTACTTAGTTCTCATTGTTTATTCTTAAAATGTAGGACCCCCAAACTGTTGGTTTTCCTATTTGACATGGGCACAATGTTGGATGATTTTTAGGTTCAGCAGTGTAGGCACCCCATATTTTGATTGGTTGAATCATGCCAAATTCTCTCTTTTGTTGGATATGAGAAACCCATTCAATCCCACAACATCCATAGTCTCAATTAATATATATATATATATATATATATCACATACATATTTCAACGTCGCCTTGGTTGTTGCTCCATATACATTTCGTCGACCCAGGAACGGCCCGGCAGCGACTATGCCCTGGAGTCGTCGGTTCGCTTGGACAACTGCGCGTTGAACGATATGATCGCCAGCACCTTTGGGCAGCAGGACTATCTCAACTGCACGGAGACGCAACGGGAAGAGCACGAACGTTCCCTGGAGCAGTGAATCCCCAATTGATGGCCGAAATGATGATCAACCGTTGGGCTGCAATGTGGCAAGAACATGGTGGTTGATTCTTATGGGCAAGCAGCAGGGCTGTTCATTCTGCTGTCCAAATGTAGGGAAACATGTACAATTATATACAAATCCAATATGTATATATATCTATATACATGATTATATATACTCATGTATCTAGCTCTGAAGCCTTTTGCATTAAGTGATAAGTTTGATCTTGCCTCAAATGCCGAAGCTCTGGGCATTCTTCTGGTTGATCATTTTGTAAGCTGCTGAAAATGAACAACAAAACTAGCTGACTGTCACCTCATGGCCCACGCATGCGGGCCATGTGCAATTGGATGATCCTGGAAGTAGCAGATTGGGAATGGGAATCAGCATAACCCCAACAAAACTGGCAAATATGTGTCCCACGCTCAAAGCTGGGTTATTCTTCCATAAAGGGAAATCGACATCATTCTGATCAATAGATGTTAGTTTATATCCGTTTTATCCGTTAATCAAAAGAAGGAAATACATTAGTGGATGTGGGATGACCACCATCCATTTATCTAACGTAACTGGACCATAGCACATACTTGAATGTCCTTGGTTATCATGCGCTATCAGCAACCGTGCATCCGACCTCATGTTTGTATTACATGTTTTGGTGAATTCTGATGTTGCAGCCGCTTACTGTGGGTTTTCTGTTGGTTTTTACCATCGCCATACCATATATCTACACAGAAAGCCTTAATTAGTCCATCTCAATATTAGAAAAATGTCAAAACAAACACGAATAACGGACACAGGGATAGAGTACCCAGAATTCGAAGCACTGAAGAGCTTGTTTGGCCAAACTAAATCAAACAAACTTATTCGGTTGCTTACGATGCAATTGTTGTTGGCTTCCAACTTCCAACATGTTCCTTTGTTTTCGAAAAAAATGCCCTTGCCGTATCATGCCGGGTCATCACCAACAGTACCATCCTCGAATTTGTGCCGCCGGAAAACTTGCAGGAAACCTGCATATTTATAGTCGAGCAAAAGCAACGTGTATAACGTGTCCTGCAGAATTTACCAACAAAACCCATCCACTGAAACATATGTGGTATTTATTCTTATCTACCAAATCACTATTGTTTCATTTTTTCCACCCCTGGTTAAATGTTAAGGTCCTCTATATTTCTCCATACCCACCAACCCTTCAAATGTGTGGTAAGCACAATGATTTTGGCTTAAAGATGTTCCCACCAACTATTCATATTGATCATCATATTTGGTGACGAAATCTCAATATTTGCTGCTCAAATCCGTACTTTTCCCACCATTTCTCTCGCTATATCCCAGTACCCCACCATTTGTTCCCAGTTAAATCCCAATTTGTTTCATAATTTTCCAAGGAAAATCCATATCTTTCCTAAGAAAAGCCTTTTTTTTTCTTTGGAAAACCCGTTGTTTTTCATAGGAAAATCATAAAATCCAGATTTTTTCCCGGGAGGTCCTCCATCCCCCAGGTTTGGAGCGCGGCATCAGTCGTTCGAACTTCGTCACGCTGGACGTCTCGCGCTTCGTCGGGAGCGAGGCGCTGGACGTGGGCTGCGGCTTCGGGCGATGGACGGCGATGCTGCAGAGCATCGGGGCCAAGGCGGGGCCTGTTGGGCTAACCATAGTTCTAGAAATAGATAGATAGATAGATAGATAGATAGATAGATATAGATAGATATACGTAGATAGATAGATCGATAGATCGATAGATCGATAGATAGATCGATAGATAGATAGATAGATCGATCGATCGATAGATAGATACTCCCATAAATTCTATTTATACAATTTTTTCCCACCTGCCAGGTGAGGGTTGTTAGATTTTATCAGAGCTGTTCTCCTCCTCCTCCTCCTCCTCCTCCTCGGCTAGCTGTCCTCCTCCTCCTCCTCGTCCTCCTCCTCCTCCTCCCCCTCTAGTTTCTCCTCGACCATGTCTGCATCAACTTCCACCTCCACTTCCGCCTTGCCAACTCTTCGCCAAGCTCTTTGCCAACTTCCCAGCTCAGTGTGCACTGGGACCTCAACCTGGGACCTGCCCAGCTCAGTGTGCACCGCTGGACCTCAAGCTCAGTGTGCACCGCTGGACCTCAACCAGAGACCGTCTCAGCTCAGTGTGCACCCAGCGCAGTGGGCACCGCTGGACCTCAACCGGGGACCTGCCCAGCTCAGTGTGCACTGCTGGACCTTAACATGGGACCTGCCCAGCTCAGTGTGCACCGCTGGACCTCAACGGCCAGATAGAATGCCAGAAGATATGCCACATAGAATGTCAGATAGAATGCCAGAAGATATGCCAGATAAAATGCCATGAGATATGCCAGATAGATATGCCACATAGAATGTCAGATAGAATGCCAGAAGATATGCCAGATAGAATGCCAGAAGATTTGCCAGATAGAATGCCAGAAGATATGCCAGATAGAATGCCAGATAGAATGCCAGATAGAATGCCAGATAGAAAGAAGATATGTCAGATAGAATGCCAGAAGATATGCCAGATAAAATGCCATGAGATATGCCAGATAGATATGCCAGAACATATGCCAGAAGATATGCGAGATAGAATGCCAGAAGATATGCCAGAAGATATGCCAGATAAAATGCCATGAGATATGCCAGATAGATATGCCAGAACATATGCCAGAAGATATGCCAGATAGAATGCCAGAAGATATGTCAGATAGAATGCCAGATAGAATGGCAGAAGATATGTCAGATAGAATGCCAGAAGATATGCCAGATAGAATGCCAGAAGATTTGCCAGATAGAATGCCAGAAGATATGCCAGAAGATATGCCAGATAGAATGCCAGATAGAATGCCAGAAGATATGTCAGATAGAATGCCAGAAGATTTGCCAGTAACAAATCGATAAATGTCATGGTGGGGATCGCTCGAAGTAAAGTAATTCTAAATAGTAATACATATCATATATATATATATATATATAATTATATATATATATACATACAGTAAGTATATATCATTTGGTTGGTGGTTGGGAACATTTTCTATTTTCCATTCATATATGGGATAAACCTTCCCATTGACTTTCATATTTTTCAGATGGGCTGAAACCACCAACCAGACATGGTATTTTACATTAGTATGGGACTAATACTAGTTACAATATTATTAGAATGGGATTCTCATATTAGTAAGGGATTATTACAGCGTGGTATTCCCATATTAGTAATAATATTAGGTGTCATACTAGTTATCATATTATTAGAATGGGATTCTCCCAACTAAGCTAAGTTGCTTCATACAAGTTGTAATCATGGGATAATCATGAGGATGATCCCAAATAGCTAAGTTGGTGCCAATATCCCATGCCATAGACCAACTCAGTACCATTAGCCAATAGTAATAACGCGGCATCGCTTGTGGGATGATCCTTGGGATTATGGGACAATAGTAATATGGTCGAAGGAAGTTTAGAAGTTAAACTTCCGACAATATGGACAGATGAAAAGCAGAGCAGGGAAGAGGCAGAGAGAAGAGAAAGAGTAAGAAGAAAGTGCAGATGCGCGAAAAGGTAGGAAAGTCGCGAAACACTGGTGTTTTTCCATTGATTTGGGGCTCCGGAGGGTCGAAAAGTAGGCTCGCTAAAGCGGCGGGTGCGGAGCCAGCTGGCCAGATGAGAGATGAAAAGTTGCACGCAGTTGTGGCGCGAAGCACATTTGGAAGTTAACATGTTAAAAACACCAGGGGTTCGGACCACTTTTGGAAGTTGCGATGTCGAAAAAGTGCAAGCCGTTGTGGCGCGAAGCACATTTCCAAGTGAAAATGTACAAAACACACCAGCTCCGGACCACTTTTGGAAGTTGAGATGTCGAAAAAGTGCACGCCGTTGTGGTGCGAAGCACATTTCGAAGTCAAAATGTACAAAACACCATGTTCGCGCCACTTTTGGAGGTTCAGATGTCGAAAAAGTGCACGCCGGTGTGGCGCGAAGCACATTTCGAAGTAAAAATGTTCAAAACACTAGGGGTTCGGACCACTTTTCGAAGTTCCGATGTGGAAAAAGTGCACGCCGTTGTGGCGCGAAGCACATTTGGAAGTCAAAATGTTAAAAACACCAGGGTTCGGACCACTTTTGGAGGTTCAGATGTCGCTTCGCTTCACTACCCTACACTCCATGATACTACACTACACTACATTCCACTACACTACACTACACTACATTGCACTTCACTACACTCCACAACACTACAACTACAACTACACAACTACACTCCACTACACCCCACTACACTCCACTACACCAAATTACACTACACTACACTACATTACACCACACTCCACTACACTTCACTACGCTACATTACACTACACTACACTACCTTCCACTACACTTCACTACATTACACTACACTACACTCCACTACACTACAACTACAACTGGAACTACAACTACACAACTACACTCCACCACACTCCACTACACTCCACTACACTACACTACATTACACTACACTACATTACACTACAGTTCACTACATTACACTACACTACACTCCACTACACTACAAATACAACTACACAACTACACTCCACTACGCTCCACTACTCTAACACTTACACTACACTACACTACACGGCATTACACTACACTACACTCCACTACACTACATTACACTACACTACACTACACTCCACAACACTACAACTACAACTACACAACTACACAACTACACTCCACTACACTCCACTACACTACACTACATTACACTACACTAAATTACACTACACTAAATTACACGACACTACACTACATTACACTACACTCCACTACACTACATTACACTACACTACATTACACTACACTAAATTACACGACACTACACTACATTACACTACACTCCACTACACTACATTACACTACAAATACAACTACAACTACGCAACTACACTCCACTACACTCCACTACACTCCACGACACTCCACAACACTAAATTACACTACACTACATTACACTACACTACACTCCACTACACTACACTACACTCCACAACACTACAACTACAACTACACAACTACACAACTACACTCCACTACACTCCACTACACTAAAGTAGCAACGCCACACACGACAGGACACACACTACAACAACCTTACGCTACGACACTACACTACACTACACTCCACTACACTCCACTACACTACACAACATTACACTACACTACATTACACTGAATGACACTGCACCACAGATAGACAGGTAGACAGATAGACAGATGAAAGAGAGAGAGAGAGAGATAGATAGATCGATGGATAGATAGATAGATACATAGAAGATAGATAGGTAGGTAGGTAGGTAGATAGTCAGAGAAAGAGAGCGAAAGAGAGGAGACCTCAAGGACCTTTCGGTCCATCAGTGGATTCGCTCTGCCATCCCTGATTCACAACAACCAACCTCTCCTATAGGTTTCCTATTTTTGAAACTTCCGCCACCGCCTTGTGCGGCACTACTGGTATAGTAATGGGATATAACCAATAATGGGATAATACAACGTAGGAGCTACCATACTTAACCATAGCCATAGGGATCAATAATGGGATGCTCATGGGAGTTTTTTAAGGTATCTAACCACTTACTGAGGATTATCTATCATAAACATCCATGAGCCATACTTAATCATAGATATCAAGAAATTGATCATTAATTGGATAATAATGGAATATTGACCAGGATCAATTTCTCCAGGGATGGGATAAAATAAATTAATCCTGGGATAATGATCAATGATCATTGAATATCATTGGAAATTAATATTGATCATTGATTGAATGGAATTTTTATTGCCATTGGTAAAAAACGACTAATATTACAATGGTATGAATTAATTATCCTATTATCCAATGAATATTACCATGATACTGGGATCGTTAGGAAATGGATCGTTGCATTACCTGTCCCTTCACCTAAGAGGATCATCCCACTGACCTGTTGGTTGGTTTATACGTTATACCCATGGTATAATGATGGGATCATTTTGTGAGAAATACCATACTTAAGCATACATCACTTAGTAAAGCTAAGTACCACACAGTAACATAATTACTGTTGTGGTTTATGAGTGTTACTGTGTTGCTACACGTAAATCGTAGCCACGATTGGAGGGAGTAATTAGTAAAATCAATCCTAATGGCATAAACCTACCATTTGGGGATAGTTTATACCACCCATTTATACATTGTGATTTTGGGGATGTCAATGGTAATTTCAGGATCCTAAATTGGAGGTACTGTACCATAATTCTTGCCATATTTTGCGGGGATATTCCCTTACATAGGCCTGAAAAATAGGCCTTAACAAAATAGTAGGTACCTCCAATCAATCGGTTCCTGTTGCATGGCCATTGAGGATGGTTGATTATTAGGTTTGCCATATTGAGGGATTAATATCCTGGTGATCATCCTTAATCTAGTACATTTAATGGCCATATCCGAATATCCCTTAATAGTAACGGCCACTGATTAATTTAGGTCCCTGAAATGGCCATTAAGGGATTAATGATCCTGGTGATCATCAGTTCCCTTTTTTAGCACTGGGATGATCCTTGGAAAATGATATTTTGGGGCAGGGCTAAAAAAAACGATTTTTAGGGGAACTTGCTGGGGAAATATACGAATTGCCCCCTGAAAAAGCAGGAGTAACTGTCTCGCCTATGGGGGCTATGATTTACCCATAAATGAACTGGAGCAAGCCTTTTGGAGGAAGTTTCACTATAAACAATGGGGATAAACCCTCAGGAAATATGGACAATGCGGTTCAAGCAGCAACAAGTGTGGGTAACAAACATACAAACATAGTAGTAAATATCCAACATGGGGAGTGGGTGTGACTAGATTTCGGGTTTAACAATCCAAACATTATACATGAAATATGGTGAATTAAGCATCAAATCTTGGGTAAAACTTGGATGGGTAGTCAGTAGTCAGCTATACTTGAAAAAATGCATTTTTTCCACGTTGATTTGTAAATACACCTGGTTCAGCCATGTTTCCATTTCGCTGGGGTCAAACGACTAAACACCAAATATTTTGTTGGAACCCTTGTCAATTTTTATTCACCACATCTCGGATATTGGGATAAAAAATATGGATATAAATATCATATCAATTGAAACTGATGTAAATCTAGTTATATAATTTGTTTGGTGGTGAGCATTTTTCCTTTGGAGCTGCATGTTGGATGGACAAGTTGGCGCAAAAAAAGGGGATCCACCGTGATCTGATCATGTATCAACTAGCAAACAGACTATGAAAGATTAGGTAACTTGTTTCATCTTAGTTCATTACATCAAAGTAGGACACATTCCACATTCCACATTCCACGTTCATTCCACATCTTAGTTCATCTTAGTTCATCTTAGTTCATTGATTCCTTCATTGTTCCTTGGGAATCACTTCGCCTGGCGCACGCACCGGGGATGGGGCCCCCATCTGTTGGTTGACCCTGTCCCAACGAAAAATGACACCCAGGATCCACGTGACAAACTGATGCTTTTTTACATGGTAACTTAAGGGTATTCTGAATATCTGTGAATAACTACCCGGAAGATCCCGACCCGCATGCTCCATGCTGCTGAAATTTGTATCAACATTGACCCCCCAAAGAAGACACAGTTACCGCATGTAAAGGTAGCTCTGACAGTATCGTGGTTTAATTACACATGGTAGCCATCAATCCCATCCAAGAAACAAACGACTAGGTATGTTGGGCTAAACACTTGGTTTGTTTGCAAATAATTGGGTGCAAGTTATAAGTTCTAATATTTCATAATACGTTTTAATAAGTCTTTATCATATATATATATATATATTTGTGCACATGACCAAGGTCCTCGATTCCATGAAGTAACGCTAAATACATGGGTGACATATATAAACGCTAATAGACTCAAGGAATTACTCACAATATATATATATATATATTTTTTTTATATCAATAGTAACTTGAGTCTGTAGTAATAGATATATATATATATACAGTATGTGTTAATTTATAGCCTGGTTGGTGGTTTGGAACTTTTTTATTTTCCATAATATACGGGATAATCCTCCCCATTGACTTTCATATTTTTCAAGATGGTTATTGTACCACCAACCAGATACAGTAAATTTATATATACATATAGTTGCTTGAGTTTAGAAATATATATATATATAGATATATAGATATTCCTATAAATGATATTTATATATATAAATATAAATAGTAAGTAATACATATACATACATACATACATACATACATACATACATACATACATACATACATACATACATACATACATACATATACATATACATACATACATATACATACATACATACATACATACATACATACATATACATACATACATACAGACATACATACATACAGTATATATCAACTGGTTGATGGTTTGGAACATTTTTTTTATTTTTCATATATTGGGAATAATCATCCCAACTTCATAATTTTCAGAGGGGTTGAAACCACCAATCAGATTAATATTAACCATCATAAACCATATATCAGAATATAATAACCATATGTTAACCATATATTAAACCATATATTAAATCATATATATATATCTAACATAACAATCCCTAATGGTTTTTCTTCAGAGGTGACCTCGGTGGACGCCTCGCCCCACGCGGTGAAGTCCACGCGGCGCTTCAATCCCAACACGCATCAGATGCGCGGCTTCGTTCGCCGGGGAAAACCATTGGAAAACCCTAGGAAAATTGTGATTTAAGCCACGAAACTGATGATTTCGTGAGATTTAATAAGGACAATGGTGACTTACTGACATATATATATATATAATAGATGTACGTATACATATCTATTTCGGGCCATAATTGTAGGAAAACCATTGGAAAACCATTGGAAAATTTTGATTTCACCAGACCAAATGGTGATTCAAATGGGATTTATAGCTGATTTATGATGGCTAATGTGGTGCAATAACTCCAATTTCACTATGGTTTATGGTTCCTGAAGCACTGTATATAGTTTAATTGTGGTGTATGACAATTGAGCCAATCAGGTAGGGGTTTGTACTACCTAGTTTATTGGGGATCAGGATAACCCATAGTATGGAAACCTATCAACCAACTAGTATAATGAGATTGGATAGGAATACTTTTAATGGCTCAATTATCTAATGATCAAATCAGCAGTAGTGATGTGGATATGTTGAACGGGTGACCATATATAACTCAACCTAACAAGCACAACTGCAAGTTATTTGAACCAAGTAGGTCAACTATAGCGGGTTTATGACGTATATATATATATATACTGTATATATTGACATATAGTCAATGGAGTTTATAACCAACTTATCACAAGAGGTAATCACCTTGTAATGACCATTAATATGTGAACAAAATTGAGGAAATAATCCCACAATGTATATGATCGTATTATCTAAATACATCTGAATATGACAAAAATGTACGAACCAAACCAAAAACCATGGGATGAAACCAACTATTTATAGTAATATCGGGTACAATGGTAATTGAGCAACAAATATGATCCAACGACTCATCGAAGTTGACAGTGCTCCACGTAACGTAACGACAGACGCCGCCGTAGGGAATAATTACTGCAGATACTGCAGCTGCGTCCTTCCGACGCATATAAGACTGAACGTGTCATGCCATTGTTCTATGTAGAGGCGAAGATGCTAGAGAAAGGAGTGAAAAGGGAGTTTGGAAAACGAGTTTTCGAAGACCCTTACAGCACTCTCGAATCGGAAAGCCTTTTTCGAACCTCAGAAACAACGATATGTTCCAACTGTCATTTTGCACAGAAATTGCAGTACCATGGTTTTAGCTCTTCGTCACGACGTCATGACTTGCATTCCGGGCAATTGGCACATCCCGGCCGTTAAATCACTGAAGGGATGACCGGTAAACTATGTGCAGGGGAATATACTTTGAAGAATGAGATCCAATAATATTTTGCCGTAACCAGAACTAGTTTTACTCGGTAACCAGCATCTTTTTCTCTCCACTGAATTCACATACATACAATTATATAGATACATATATATAAATGACACAATTTGGAAGATCAGCAGTAAACTATGGGGATATAGTGAGATAAGTGGATAACTTGGAATATATTAAGAGTATGTTTGGTTTTCAGCTTGGGTCATTTGGATTGCACATCCAAGGATGTCGCTCTTCGAGCTGCCATCCCTGGAACTACAGCAGCATTGGGTGGGGATAAGGGGAATTGTTTCTGGTAGGACCGAATGGAAACATATTGATGCCATCTGATGCCTAACAATTCATGGATGTGCATTCCACTTATAACCGACAACTGAAAGTTAGAATGCCGCTTTGGTGGCAAGATGTGGATTTCAAGAAAAGACCCGCGTACCGCGTGAAAAATCCGGGAGGCATTCTAACCTTATTTATTTAGTCCTGAAGGCATTCTAACCCTATTTATTTAGTCCTGAAACCCCTAAAACTCCAAAATTCTTAACGCATTCTCGACCGTCCCGTATCTTCCATGTATATGGCACTGCAAATATGCAGAATATGCATGTAAATAGCAAAACAAATACCCAAAAGACAATGAAAAATAATGAAACACATGTAACAACATTGAAAAATCAATGAAAAATAATTCAACACACCTTGAAAATAACGAAAAAAACACTGAAAAATAATGAACAACATCTTGAAAATAGTGAAAAATCACTGAATGCTGTCCCGGTTTTTTTAAGGGGGTTCAGGGCTAAATAAATAAGGTTAGAATGCCTCCCAGATTTCTCACGCGGTACGCGTTTTTTTTCTTGAAATCCATGTCTTTCCACCAAGGTGGCATTATAACTTTCGGTTGTACCATATAATATAATGAAAAAAACAATGAAAAATATTGAAAACCATCGTCAAAGTAATGAAAAACCAATGAAAACTAATGGATCTACCCATGATGAATAAAAAATGACAAAATATGCAAAAAAAAACGCAATATCGTCATCCGCCGATCCAAGAACACCTCGTTTATTCACATCTAATATGTATGTACATGGTTGTAGATGTACATGATTACAGCGCATATATACGTGTGTATAATGCCGTTTTTGGAGGTTACCATCCTGTTTAGTCAACATTTCATTATCGTGGAGAATATCGTGGGAAAATCCCTGACGGGCATTCTAAACCTATTTATTTAATCTTGAAACCCCTTGAAAAATCCGGCACGGCATTCTAACTCTATTTATTTAGCCCTGAAACCCCTAAAACTGAAAAATGTTTGGCGCATTTTCGACCGTCCCGTCTTTTCGATGTACTGCAAATATGCAGAATATGCATGTAAATTGCAAAAGAATCTACCCATGACCAATAAAACATATCATAATATGCAGAAAATAATGCAATATCGTATTTAGAATATGTAGAATATGCAGGTATTCGCCAAAAAAGCACGCTCATGATCAGCAAAAAACAAACATGATCAATAAAAAATGACAGAGTATTAGAAAAATGATGAAAATGCAATATCGTTTGTGTATAATGCCTTTTTGGAGGTTACCATCCTGTTTAATCAACATTTACATTATCGTGGGGAATACGGTGGGAAAACCTTTGACGGGCATTCTAAGCTTACTTATTCAGTCCTGAAACACCTAAAACTCCAAAATTATTGACACATTTTCAACCGTCCCGTGTCTTCCATGCACTGCAAATATGCAGAATATGCATGTAAATTGCAAACAAATCTTTCCATGAACAATAAGCGCTGTCATGATATGCAGAAAAATGCGACATCGTATTGTTATTTAAAAAAACAAAATGCAGAATGTACAGTATTCGCCAAAAAAACATGCTCATGACCAGCAAAAAAAAACATGATCAATAAACATGACAGAATATTGGAAAAAATGCAACATCGTCTGTGTGTAATGCCGTTTTTGGAGGCTACCATCCTGTTTAATCAACATTTCATTATCGGGGGAAGTACCGTGGGACAATCCCCGACGGGCATTCTAACCCTATTTATTTAGTCCTGAAACCCCTAAAACTCCTAAATTCTTAACCAATTTTCGACCGTCCCGTGTCTTCCATGTACTGCAAATATGCAGAATTTGATGTAACTTGCAAACAAATCTGTCCATGAACAACAAAACATGTCAGAATATGCAGAAAAATGCAATATCGTCATCCGCCGATCCAAGAACACCTCATTTACTCACATCTACTATGTATGTATGTACGTGATTGTCACTGTACATATATGTAATATATACAGTACATTATGTGTGTATAATGCCGTTTTCGGAGGTTACCATTCTGTTTAATCAACATTTACATTATCGCGGGGAATACCGTGGGAAAAATCCGACAGGCATTCTAACTTTATTTACTTAGCCCTGAAACCCCTAAAACTCCAAAATTCTTGACGAATTTTCGACCGTCCCGTGTCTTCCATATACTGCAAATATGCAGAATACGCATGTAAATTGCAAAAGAATCTACCCATGACCAATAAAACATATCATAATATGCAGAAAATAATGCAATATCGTATTTTGAATATGTAGAATATGCAGGCATTCGCCAAAAAAAACATGCTCATGATCAGCCAGAAAATACATAACCAATAAAAACATACAGAATATGCAGAAAAAATGCAGCATCGTCATCCGCCGATCCAAGAACACCCCGTTTACTCACATCTAATATGCATGTACATGTACATATATGTAATATATACAGCGCATGTATATGTGTGTATAATGCCATTTTCGGAGGTTACCGTCCTGTTTAATCAACATTGAATTGCCGTGGGAAAATTCCGACGGGCATTCTAACTTTATTTATATACTTAGTCCTGAAACCCCTGAAACTCCAAAATTCTTGACGCATTTTCGACCGTCCCGTGTCTTCCATATACTGCAAATATGCAGAATACGCATGTAAATTGCAAAAGAATCTACCCATGACCAATAAAACATATCATAATATGCAGAAAAAATGCAATATCGTATTTTCAATATGTAGAATATGCAGGTATTCGCCCAATAAAACATGCTCATGATCAGCAAAAAACTACATGATCACTAAAATTGACAGAATATGCAGAAAAAATGCAATATCGTCATCCGCCGATCCAAGAACACATCGTTTACTCACATCTAGATTTCATTTATGTATTGAAAATCTATATAGAATTCAGAAGTTTTGGCGGCATATGCTCCGGAGGCATTCTAACCCTACAGCAATAAACAAGGTTTGGTGGCCCCGGCAAACCAAGCTTTTGGTCGGTACGGGTTTTTATGGTTTTTGATGAGTTTTTACAGGTTTTGGACTGTTTTCTACGGGTTGTGGCGAAGCTGCTTCATCAAAAACCTGGTTTTGTTGACTAGAACCTTGTTTTTTTTCGCAGAAACTAGCTCAAAACCAGGTTTTGATACCTCGACCCGCGTTTTTCAGGGATTTGGTTGATGTAGGATATATGATGATGATATCAAACTGTGGTAAGTACTTATCTCAACCGTCATTGCGGAGCAAAATTTCATTTATATATTGAAAATCTATATAGAATTTAGAAGTTTGGGGGGCATATGCTCCGGAGGCATTCTAACCCTACAAAAATAAACAAGGTTTGGTGGCCCCGGCAAACCAAGCTTTTGGTCGGTTTTGGACTACGGTTTTTACGTTTTTTTGGTTTTGATGAGTTTTTACAAGTTTTCGACGGTGTTTCTACGGGTTGTGGCGAAGCTGCTTCATCAAAAACCAGGTTTTGTTGACTAAAACCTGTTGTTCTCGCAGAAACTATATAGCTCAAAACCAGGTTTTGATACCTCGACCCGTTTTTTTTCAGGGATTTGGTTGATGTAGGATATAAATATACGTAATATATATATAAATATATATATATATATTTAACATCTATATTATAGAATTCAGCTGTTTTGGGGGCATTTGCTGCGGAGGCATTCTAACCCTACAAAAAAGAAAGGTTTGGTGGCCCCGGCACAACAGGTAGGCAAATTTGATCAAACAATTTTTGAACATTTTTATCCACATTTACCAGCATAATACATACTGAAAGGTAGAATTTTGGTAGATTTGTTCAGACAATTATGGTGTGGCATTCTAACTTTCAATGGATTTTTTTTTGGTGGCAATGGCAGCATTCTAACTTTCAGTTGTTGGGTATAGTAAGTGGTTATTTGAGTTATTTATATCTTAATGTTTTAACTCAATCTAAGTACGCATTGAAACTGAATAGAGTTTATCATGTATTTATATGTATTACCCTAAGAATCCATGTTGGTAATATAAACACTCGGACCAATGTTGGCCTGAGAGCACTACATTGGTATGTTGGCTTGAGAGCACAACATTGTCGAATTGTCGGGGCTTTGTTTGTCGAATGTCATTGATTTCCAGGGGGTTGATGGCTTGACATGGTGTGCAGCCATTTGCCTTCAAAATTTGTTCAGGGTCTCTTAAAACGAGCACCATACAACCATACAGATTGCATGTTCTTTTTGGTTCCGCTCTTTTGCCATGATATATAAACTATATTAAACTACGTTGGTTAGCGAAATCAAACTTAGTTGCCTTAGATTGGAAATGATTTAAAATTTTAAAGATCTGAAAGAAACTGAAAACCCAAAGTTAAAAAAAGACAGATGCAATTCCGCAATGTCCAGCCAGCTTTGGCCTGGCTTTGACCCTCGAACTCCAACCCTTGCTCTTAGAATATCTGAAAACGCGGTTTTCCTGCAACCTCTATATTCTGTAACCACCATTCCTTGACAATTTGAAGTTTATCATTCGCAAATGATCAGCAGTTTGCTCAAAACCGCTGCTCAAAACACCAAAGCGTATCAGGAAAAAAACTAAACATTCCTAGACATCACCCAAGCATGTCCGGTCCCATTCACATTGAGCCCCGGTTAGGTTAGAGGAGCTGTATTTTCAGCATGCTTTTGAGAACACAAACTGGCTGGTCATGAAACTTTCGAAGCTGTTTGCAGGATCTAGTCCGATAGTTTGCTCGTTTTTGGTCGGATCAATCCGAGGGGCGGGGGAGGGGGGGACCCCCCCCCCCCCCTCCTCACCAGGAGAAGATATGTGCTCGAATCCAAGGGGGGGGGGACCCCCTCCCCCCCCCTCCTGCAATGCTCTAAAGGGGGGGGCCCCCTCTTCCCCCCTGCGATGCTGTAAAGGTGGGGGGA